AAAAAAAAAAATGGTGGCTGGCCTGATTTGGCCAGCAGGCCAGAGTTTGCTGTACGTGAGCCCTGGGGAAAGAGGTATGTGGGGGTCTCAGGTTTGCCTGAGCCTTCTCCCTGTCCCCCTCACCCCCCGGCACCCCTCCCCTCCCACCAGGATTCTGCGCATCCAGAAAGAGACCCCCACGCTGCAGCGGAAGGAGCCCCCTCCCGCAGTGCTGGAAGCTGACCTCACCGAGGGCGACCTGGCTAACTCCCATCTGCCCTCCGAAGTGCTTTATATGCTCAAGAATGTCCGGTCAGTGTTGGGATGCAGGTGGGGGTGGAGGACTACAGACGTGGGGCCACCCTGACCTCCAGCCTCTGTCCCCCACTGCCTGTCCAACAGGGTGCTGGGCCACTTCGAGAAGCCGCTCTTCCTGGAGCTCTGCCGCCACATGGTCTTCCAGCGGCTGGGCCAGGGTGACTATGTCTTCCGGCCGGGCCAGCCAGATGCCAGCATCTACGTGGTGCAGGACGGGCTGCTGGAGCTCTGTCTGCCGGGGCCTGTGAGTGGGCCTCCCCAGGGGCTGCTGCAGGAGGATGGGTGGTGGGGATGGGCAGCAGGCAGGTCTGTAGAGCTGGTGGTCTTTGGAGACGTGTCATCGGAAGTCAGGGGAACGGGAGTGACCAAGGACATTTGGGGTGGTCGGCATGGTTGCTCAGTAGTTACAGGTATTGAACGACGGGGGATGCCTGCTGGTTGGAAAGCTTGGCAGGTTCCCCTGAGAAGGGATGGGGGGTGTCAGCGATCATTGGGATGGATGAGGGGGTGACATGCCAGTCACCAGGGTGAGGCCACCAAGGATCCCTGGTCCCCTGTGTCTCAGGACGGGAAGGAGTGTGTGGTGAAGGAAGTGGTTCCCGGGGACAGCGTCAACAGCCTTCTCAGCATCCTGGATGTCATCACCGTGAGTGACCAGTCCCTGGGGCAGGGGGGCTGGGGTGCGAGGACCCACCCAAGAGACCAGGTTGAAGGAAATCACCGGGTCCCCAATCCCTGATTCATCCCTGATGCTGCCGATGGCCCCTCCTGGGACTGGCGCCAGGAAGGATTGGGGGAGTAGCGAGGGGGACTCGCAGCCCCTGCCCTTGTCTCTCTTCACGCTCTCCCCTCCCCCAGGGTCACCAGCATCCCCAGCGGACCGTGTCTGCCCGGGCGGCCCGGGACTCCACAGTGCTGCGCCTGCCCGTGGAAGCGTTCTCTGCGGTCTTCACCAAGTACCCGGAGAGCTTGGTGCGGGTCGTGCAGGTCAGCGGGCCCTCGCCTCCCGTCACCCCCCGAGGGACCCCACCCTGGCCCCCACCCATTCCAGGTTCCAAGGGGCAGAGGCCCAGCAGCCAGCAGGCACTGGAGCTGTGGTTATCGGCCTGGAGCAGCCAGATGTCCGCAGCCGCGGACTCCTCCCTTAGCTGCCTCGCCCCATTTCCCCAGACTGTGGGTCTCTCCCCGGTTCCCGCCCCACCCCTTATGCTGCGAACTAGCCCTGCCCACTATCTGGCCCTGCCCCTGACCCCGCCCCATCTTATGGCCACGCCCCTCGAGCCCTGCAGATCATCATGGTGCGGCTGCAGCGAGTCACCTTCTTGGCGCTGCACAACTACCTGGGTCTGACCAATGAGCTCTTCAGCCACGTGAGTGGGTGGCGGGGAGCGAGCACTGGCGGGATGGGGGCGGGATCAGGATGGGACTCCCAGGACAGGCCACCAGCTGTTCTCTGCCCCCAGGAGATCCAGCCGCTGCGTCTGTTCCCCAGCCCCGGCCTCCCAACTCGCACCAGCCCTGTGCGGGGCTCCAAGAGGATGGTCAGCACCTCAGCTACAGACGAGCCCAGGGAGACCCCAGGCCGGCCACCTGACCCCACCGGGGCCCCGCTGCCTGGACCTACAGGTACCCAGGGACCCGAGGTGGGACCCAGCCTTGCCCAATCTCCCAGGAAGCCCCGTCTCAGCCCCCAGACCCTTTTTTAGTTCTACAGAGTCAACGTGACCCCGTCTAGCCCCACAGGGACCCCATAGCTGGGTATCCATGTCTGACTCCTGACTGGTACCCAGGAAGCTCTGGCCTCATCCCCAAGGACCCATTGGAATTGCTTTCACTAGTTCATCCGTCCGCAGCGTCTCCTTATCTCCCAACCTGCTAATCTGCCTAGTGGCTCTGATGAGCAGGAGCCTGAACATGTGTCTCCCCCAGGGGACCCCGTGAAGCCCACATCCCTGGAAACCACCTCGGCCCCTCTGCTGAGCCGCTGCGTCTCCATGCCAGGGGACATCTCAGGTTTGGAGCACTGGGTCTGGGGGGAGGGCCATGGGGCTTCCAGATTTGAATCCAGGTCCACTGCCTGCCCATCTTGACTTTTTTTTTTATCTGCGAAATGGGAATACTGCCAGTACTTCCCCGGGCACTTTTTTGTAGGTATTCATTGAGATAGTGCTTCTCCCACCTATGTTTAGAAGGATTCAGAGGGAGAGTGCAGACATTGATTGGTCATGTCTGCTACAGCAGTGGCCCATGGCACGTTGGTATCCATTAGTTTCAGACTGCAACTGTGGTTACTCTCATCGTTTTCTTTTCTTTTGAGACCTGTCTCCCAGCCTGGAGTGCAATGGTGCTGCCATAGCTCACTGCAGCCTCGAACTCCTGTGCTCAAGTGATCCTCCAGCCCCAGCCTCCCAAATAGCTAGAACTACAGGCCTATACCACCATATCCGGCTCATTTTTTAAAAATCTTACTCTCCTCTTTATGGCTTTTGTTGCCCCCCTGCTCACCTGCAGGCTTGCAGGGTGGCCCCCGCTCCGATTTCGACATGGCCTATGAGCGTGGCCGGATCTCCGTGTCCCTGCAGGAAGAGGCCTCCGGGGGGTCCCAGGCAACCCCCGCTCGGGTAAGGCCTGGGACCCTGGCTGGTGGTGGAGTCCGCTGGGGAAGGTGGCTGGGAGGGAGCATCAGGAGGTGACAAGCCTGCCCCACTCAGACCCCCACTCAGGAGCCCCGTGAGCAGCCAGCGGGCGCCTGTGAATACAGCTACTGTGAGGATGAGTCGGCCACCGGCGGCTGCCCCTTCGGGCCCTACCAGGGTCGCCAGACCAGCAGCATCTTCGAGGCAGCAAAGCGGGAGCTGGCCAAGCTGATGCGGATCGAGGTGGGCGGCCGAGGGGAGCTGGGCCCAGGGCATGAGGGAGGCCTGGCTGCCCCCATCTCAACCCCCCTCCCTCCCCAGGACCCCTCCCTCCTGAACAGCCGAGTCTTGCTGCACCACGCTAAAGCCGGCACCATCATTGCCCGCCAGGGAGACCAGGTGAGGCTGACCCCTGACCTGTAACCATGCCACCTGAGATCATTCCCTCTGTCTTCTGTGACCTCTGATCCCTGCCCTTTGACTGTAAGACCAGCACCTTCTCCCATAGAAGCAGACCTCTCTCATCCTATCATTTCCAACCTCTAACCCTTGGATCCTGTGACCCCCACCCCCAACCCCACCCCATGTCCTCTGGACCCATCAACTCTTCACCTGTGACCCCTGACCCTTTCGCCCTAGGACCCCAACTC